TTTGGAAAGGACATAAACACACATTCACAAGTAGTACGCACATGGCGTTTGTAAAAAGACGTTCACGCGCCCTTGTTAAACATGGTAACCCAAAGTGAACGGCAGCCAGATGCTATGGACTGAACGTTTGTGCTCTCCCAAAGCTCACCAACTGAAGTTCCAGCTCCCAGTGTGATGGTGGTATTTGGAGGTGACCTTTGGGGCGTGATTTGGCTTATGAGATGACTCCATGAGTCTGGGGCCTCTGTGATAGAATTAGTGCCCTGGTAAGAACGGGAAGAGAGACCAGAGGTCCCTCTCTGCCGGGGAAGGTCACGGCGAGAAGGCAGTGTCTGCAGCCAGCAGGAGGGTCTCCCCGGAACCCGACCGCGCTGGCACCTTGGTCTCACGTAAATTCCTGTTGTGTATGTCACCTAGTCTATGGTATTTTGTTTTAGCAGCCCAGGTAGACTAATATAGAAGACCTGTTTTCCTACTTAATTAGCAAATAACTTTATCAAGCATCATAAAATATTAATAAAGTTTGACCTTGTTATCTCATATTGGGGACTCTGCAGGAAATAATATAAAATAGGAAAAATGCAATATGCCTGCCCTGCAGGTGTGGTTCGGTTGGTTGGGTGTCGTCCCCATGCACCAAAAGGTTGTAGGTTTGATTACCAGTCAGAGAAATATCTGGGTTAAGGGGCTCAGTCCTTGGGATGGGGGGAGGGTATGCAGGAGGCAGCCAATTGATGTTCCAATCTCACATTGATGTTTCTCTCTCCCTCTCCCTTCCTCTCTCTCTCAAATGCAATAAAAATATTTAAAGAAAAGAAAAATGCCATATGCCTGAGATGTTTCTAATAATGTCATTACAAGAGCCAAAAAAATTGCAAATAATATAAATTCCAAATATAATTGCAAACGGTTGGTGAAATACTGTCTAGCCATGAAAAATGAAATCTTGATACTGATAGCAACATCAAAACACAAAATGGAAAAACATGGTATTTATATATATATATATGTTTTTGGAAAGTTTAGAAGGGAGAGCACAAAATTATTAATAAGTGCTAGAATGATCAGTGACTTAATAAGATGTTCCTCCATTCTGCAGTTTATTGTTTGTATAACCTAAACAGATTATCTGCATCTCTGCAGCCTGAAGCCTGTTTCATCCCTGCCTCCAGCTCTCCTCATTCCATCAGCTGTGTGCCTTAGCTATGTCCTGTTTAGATTTTGGCCCAAACCCAGTCCTCTAATACAGTGACAGAAGTCATTTCCTACAGAGTTAGAGGGATTGTGGTCAACTCGTTGCCAGCATTGGGGTTCTTAGGTTCCCCAAGACAGGAATCGAGAGGAAACCCCAGAGAAATTTCCAGACAGATTTTTTTGAGCTTATGCTGGAGCACAGGGGAGGAAGCAGAGAGAAAAGGGAGGTTTTCTGAAATGGCTCGGGGGCTGCTTGGCTGCTTTCCTAGGCTGGGGACAGGGTGGGCTCTTTGAAAAGGCAGGGGTTGTGGACTTTTCTATGTCAGGGTCCGGTGACTTCCTTTCCCAGCTGTTGCCTGGTATGTTCTGGGGCCTTCGCTGTGGGAACAAGACGACAGACTGCTCATTACGGCCACCCCAGGGAGGTCGTGTAGAGGTGAGTGGAGCATGTGAGTCAAGTTTAAGCAGCACTTAGAAGGAGATAAATTCGGCTACCTCTGCGTTTTTGAGTGGGGAGTGGAGGGGTGGTGACATTTTTGCGGTCAGCTTATCCCGTGTTCCTTCTGACCACCTGGTCTTCACTTGGCTTCCCGACCACCTGGTATTTTCCATCCCCAGGCCCAAGTCCCTTTGCTGTCTCAAAATCCCCTTCCTGCTGGGTCCTAATTCTATGATTTCTGCCAGGCTATTGAACGTCCCTAAGCTCAGAGTTCCTTCTCTGTTTTATTGAAACCAATAATTGTAAAACAACAAACACAGTATCGGCAGATTTTGTTATTATTTTTGAGCCCCCTTCCCCCAATTTAAGGCCTTTGCCATCTCATGCTTGGACCACTGCAGTAAAGTTCAGGCGGATCATCCTGACTCCATGTTTTCCTGACTTCAGGCCATCCTGCTAGATCTTGGTGGACTAATCCTCCTGAAATAGGGTCACCCACATCACTGGGAAGTTTTCTCTGCCACTCACTGTTACCCGTAGGGCCTGACTTTTAAGGACTCGACAGTAATCTATGTGTATTGAATATTTATGCACATAAATATTCATATGAGCTCTTGTTATCTTTTCTGGCTGTTACTAACAAGAACATTGCTATCATTATGTTTTGTTATATCATTAAATTGTTATATTGTTAAAGCTTCTTGTAAGAGCTACCTGGTTGTACAAGCTCACTTTTGTTAATGCTGAGCTGCCGCCCCATCTGCCATTACGGTCAGGTTTGCTTAGTGTAATATTTTGCAAGCAATTTCCTGGCCACTTGGTGACCTTAGGAATCGCAGCGGTGCCGATGCAGTAAAACAATTACGATCAGCAAGTGGGGCAGACGCTGAATTATAACAGCTCTTACTCGGAAGGGAAGCCTAGGCTGATGCAGCCCATCTGCCTGTCCCGGGTCCCAGGCCCGCGGCAGCTCAGAGCCAGCGCCACTCTCGCTCACCGGAGGCTTAACCAATGTGTTTTCGTGAACCNGAAGGGAAGCCTAGGCTGATGCAGCCCATCTGCCTGCCCCGGGTCCCAGGCCCGCGGCAGCTCAGAGCCAGCGCCACTCTCGCTCACCGGAGGCTTAACCAATGTGTTTTCGTGAACCCAAGTTTCAGGTGGAAACTGATGAAAACAGGAAACGAATGTCTCTGCGTTTCACCGTTTCAGTCTTAGGGAGTTGGCTAAACGGAACGATTAGAATGACGCGCGATAGGTTTCCCACCTGAAGAAAAGGGGTTTGTTTGTTTGGTGTTTACTGTTTGTTTGTAGCAGCTTCAGCGATGCTCAAAATAAAACGACTGAAAAGGAAACTTTCAAACTATATGATGATGAATTCCCGAGAGCCTTAAATTCCCTCCTGCTGATTATTACGAGTGCTGTGGCCACGTGGCGGAGACCAGGCTCTCAGTCCTGCATCCGTTACGGTGCATTCAGCAGACGCGGGCGTGGAGGGCGCTGGCACCTGGGCTTGCTCCCAGGTGCACCGGGTTTTATTAAAGGCATCCTGCTGCAACGTCCCCTCTTCCTAATTGGTTTAGGGATGCCCCCCCCAGGCGGATCCTAATTGCATTTTCCCACAAATCTAGTTTGACTTATGGTTCCTTATTTGCTCTGTATTATTTATAATAATAAATTGGAGTAAAATTCATAGGACATTAAATGCAACTTCCAGCAGTTCTACAAACCTGGGGCTTACATAGGGATTCTTAGCAGTCCTTCTGCTTGTGCTCAGTCGTTTACTCAAGCTGCAGCCTTCTGTATGTTTTCCAGTAATATTGTCTTTATTACATCTCCGGAGGTCGGCTATCTTTCACTGGATTTTTAGAATTACTTGGAACGTTGGAATGGATTACGTGTAGAATATTTTAAAAAAGTAGTGTGTCCTCCTGTAAAGTTTAAGTGGATACATTTGTATTTGGAACAGAAAAAAATATATCATCTAGAGCTATAGTGACAGAGCATCCGCATAAGATTAGGTAAAGTCCCTGCTGCACTAACAGGTCCTCACCTGTTAAGTGTGAATGTTCTCTAGAACAACGTAGGAAAATCCCATGGGCTTCTTAACGAGAAATGTGTTCATTCCTTGGAAAGTTTGGACAATTAGAGTGTTGAGTTCAGAAGTTTGGAGTGTATTTAGGAAAAAGGAAGAAGAAATTGATCAGAAGATAATACAAAGAACGGGAGAAATCTGGATCATGTCGAGCAAATTTTAGGGCAGTTCAATAAGTGGGAGGCTCGCTGTTGACCACATAAATAATAATTGAGCATCTAGAAAATATCAGAAGGATGGTTAGCAGGTGATGAGCAGATGGAAGATCTCAATAATGGTTGCACCTGAAGATTTTAAATGAGGGATCGGGCCTTTCATCTCTATTAGAGCATCAAGGGGCCCCCAACACCCACGGTGTCCGTGGAGATCGCATGGGCGGGGCTGGGCCCGCAGGAATGACAGGCTCCCCCCCTTCCCGCGGGGGTGCTGGCAGAGGAAGCCTGCTGGAGGCGTCAGGAACTTCATTGCCGCCCAGCAGTAAGGAGGCCCCTCTGTGCGTGGGGAGCGGGAGCCCGGCTCGCCTCCCTCTCGGGGGCCTGTCAGCGGAGGCCCGAGTGCTGCTGCAGCCCCACCTTCGCGCAGCATTAAGGAGGAGCCCCCTCCGCGGGGGTCAGCCGAACCGGCCAGGGTACCAGGGCCTCTACAGCAAACTGGCAGTAACGAGGTGGCACCCTCCCCGAATCTCTGCCCGAGAGATGTCAGATTAAACCGGCTAAAGCAGAGGGTTTAAGACCCAGAGTCTCAGAATACACCAACACCCATGTTTCAACTGAAAATCAACCGTCCCACCAGGAATCAGGAAGGTCACAAAGCAAATGAGAAAAGACAGCCGATTGATGCCACTCCCTCCTCAGTCCCTGGCAACCACCCTTCTCCTCTCCGTGTCTGAGAGTTGCACTCTTTCAGTTTCTACTCTAAGTGAGATCATACGGTATTTGTCGTTTTGTCCGACTTAGTTCACTTAGCATAATACCTCTAGGTCCGTTCGTGTTGCTGTAGGTGGAGTCCCTCCTTTTTCATGACTGAATAATATTCCACTGTATAGATACATTTTCTTTATTCATAAAAAGGTTAATTAAAAAAACAATAAAATAACATATCTTCTGACCAGTAATCAGTACTATACAGATAACAATTCTATATACACACGCACACGCACACACGCACCCCTGCCCTGTAACTTCCTGCACGTCAGCGCGCGTGCTGCTTTAACTCGGCCTCGTGTTCTTTCCGTACAGTGTGTTCTGCCACGTCCGGGGGCATTAAAATGGCGGCATGACGGTAGATGGCAACTTCTTAAAAATGTCACGTCTTGGCAAAATGCAAGTTGCCAGTTCTCTCTCAGGTCCCCAAAATGTGATTCCAGATTTACTGGCCCACGCGCTGCAGCAGCCCGNATTCTTTCTCAGTTCCCCAAAATGTGATTCCAGATTTACTGGCCCACGCGCTGCAGCAGCCCGGGAATCAAAGCCGCCCGCTTTCTCCGTGCCGGCGGAGCTGAGAACATCCTCGTTTGTNGGGAATCAAAGCCGCCCGCTTTCTTCGTGCCGGCGGAGCTGAGAACATCCTCGTTTGTGTGCGGCGCCCAACGCGGAGCCCTGCGCGGGGCAGTTGTCGTGCACAAGTGGCTACTTATCTGTTAGATGAACTTAGCTGGAAATGGTGGCTAATAACTCTAATAGCAGGAGAACCTTCAAACCGTGAATAAGGAAGAAGAAACCTTGTTGCCCCACCGCCCAGGGTCACCTCCGTTACTACGTGACGCTGAGCTGGAGATTCACCTTCAACAGGCGCCTGCGTGTCACCTCCCTCTGCAGCTCCCCTCTGTCAGTCACCTCAGCGAGATATTTCTTAATATCCCCTCGGCTCCTGGTGTCAGCCTTACATGGACGTTAGATACAATGGGCTCACCATGATCTGGCAGACTTCTTATAGTACATATGTTTTATGTATTTCTTTGTTAAAATTAAAGGTTTTCATGGAAATATTAAAAATTGACATAACTTCAAATATTAAGGTATAACATAAACGATTGGCTCTCTTGTTCATATTAAGAATTAATGATATAATCATGTTTTTATTAAACTAATAAGTGATTAGTATTTACCTTTTTTTCAAGCAGGGAAAGGTGGGTTTGGACCGTATGAAAGGAACTCTATGGAAGGGCCACAAATTTCTGAAGAGTTCACTAATCACCTTGAGTTCTGTAACCCTATGAATTAGCTCATACGTAAAAAATGCACATTTAAAAGATGTGCTCAATGTGAACAACTCAGTATAAAATATTCTTTCATAAACATCTCAATTTGGGGGATGAAACGGCCTCATGTAATCTATTCTAATGCTACTTTCTCATGAATTCATATTAGCAGATATGTGCTATGCACATAGTAGGCTGCTGTTTTCCTTCTTAAACTCTGTCATTTATCACTCGTAAATTTTGCAGTTTTGTTCATATATTTTTTAATATTCTTTTTAAAATTTATCTTTATTGTTGAAAGTATTGCAGATGCCCCCTTTCAGCCCTACCCCCCCCCCC